CAGTCAGGAGACAACCGCGCCGAGACAGAAGGAGCGTCAGCCAGTCACAAAACCTCCACCAGAAATCGACTTCCCAGACTCCAGGCCCAGCAGACCTCAAAAGACCACCAAAGCGAAGGAACGAAGCACCGGAAGTGTGCCCGGGAGGAAAACGACACGGCCACAATCAGCGATCGTTGACCTCACTGACGATATGGCAGATGCTCTTCGTCGGCTAGATATGTAAGAGCCACCTCGTAAGTGGCATTGTTGCCTTGCTAACATGAAAATGCAGCACAGCCGAGCCACCAAAGAAGCAAGGCAGGGCTAGAAAAGATGATGCTCCGCCAAAAACTCCGCCATTGACACCGCCAAGGCCATCCACCAAATCACTGGTATCCCCTAAGAAGCTCCCAGGTATTCCAAAGACACCCCATGGGCCTGGTATGGATATGTTCTGGAGTCAGGAGTTCGTGGATGAGTGGAACGAGGAGCACTCGCCCAAGAAACTAATATTGCCTCCGGCCCAAAGGAGTCCGGTGAAAAGTCCCAAAAAAGCGAAAGAACAGAAGACAAATACGGCCAACCGGAAAGAAAGCAAGAAGGCGTTCGAGCAGAGAAAACACGACATCGCCCAGACATTCCTCCAAGAACTTGACGATACCATCACCCAGGGCAAACTGCAGTCCCTAGCCGAGTCTACAGGAGGAGTCAAGATCCAGTGGTCGGCCAAACTCAACACCACAGCGGGAAGAGCGAACTGGAGGCGCGAAACCGTCCGTACCAAGAACGCCGACGGGTCAGAGAAATCGGTCACGCACAAGCATCATGCTTCCATTGAGCTCGCGGAGAAGGTGATTGATGACGAAAATCGTCTCCTCAACGTCGTCGCACACGAGTTTTGCCATCTGGCCAACTTCATGGTCAACGGCATCACTGGTAACCCGCACGGCAAAGAATTCAAGATCTGGGCGGTGAAGTGCTCACAGCGATTCGGGGATCGTGGCATCGAGGTGACGACGAAGCACTCGTACGAGATCGATTTCAAGTACATGTGGGAATGCACCGAATGCGGGCTCGAGTACAAGCGCCACTCTAAGAGCATCAACCCCGAACGCCATCGGTGTGGCTCCTGCAAGGCGCAGCTGAAGCAGACGAAACCGACACCAAGAGCCGCCGGGAAGCCGTCCGAGTATCAGCAGTTCTTCAAGGAGCAGATGAAAGTGGTGAAGAAGGAGCACCCTGGTAGCCAGCAGAAGGAGGTAATGAAGATCATTGCAGAACGGTGGGCAAAGCGAGGTGGCAGTGCCCGGGCAACCCCCGATTCGGAGGCGGATGTGAACAAGGTTGGCTCTCAGCTGGTAGATTTGACGTTGTAGGAGGACATGAGGAATTGGCGTTGGAATCAGGCAGAGTCGACAGAGTTTATCGCCCATTGCTTCATGATTGATCACCAAATCTTATGGTCTTTCCAATTCTTATCCAGTGGCGCAAAACACCATCATCATAAGCGTTGACAATGTCATCGTCAATAAGGGGAACCCGTCTGAGTTCATCGAGTGACAGGGAAGCAAGCACATGGTTACTGTTTAGGGCCAGCTTACTGATGCGTATCTGATATGCTACACAGTTGCTCAAGCGGCTTGATATACGAATTCCCCGCTCGACACCTTCCTTTTCGTTATCTCTGCCGCAACTCCCGTCAATGTTCTTCTTTCGCCGATGGCAAATACTCTCTAGGTATAGTACAAGGAACATACTTTGGGCGTAGTAGCTAGCATAGACGAAGTACGAGACCGCCCAGGTGGAGCGTGACAAGGCTACTTACCTTGGGATGACCTCACATTGAGCAGATGACCTACGCAGCTGGCACCCACAAGTTCAGCACCAACTTGCGGTCGCTGGTGACCACATAACTGCCGAGGAGGGAAGAATCTATGAACTAGACTTCAATCCAATAGAGTATATATACTCCCACTGGCCAAATGCCCTATTTGCAAGAAGATTGGAGAGAGCCTCAAAGAGCGGCCGAGAAAAGTTCTTAAGCAGTGCATGTGGCCGGGAAGTAGACGACCATAGAGGGGAGGATGACCGTAAAGCGGATGATCACGTAGTGTTCTACACATTGTCGAATGTAAGAGGTTTCAAACTAGACCATCACTTCTCGTGTTGCTCTATCTATATACACAAGAGCGCCACGACGATATTTGCGCAACGTCAATGGTGTCATTAATCATGATGGACTTATCACGATCGACTTTGGCGAAGTCCCAACCGCAAGGTGATTTCTAATCAACGGGTTTGTTTTTCCAAAGCTCAGGTTACGTCAATTTTGCCAGTCAAGTAAGGCTACAGGTTTTCAAGTTGAACTTCCATCTACGGCGATTTTCGGTAGTTCTCCAAGAACTTTCCACATTTCTGGTATCACGCACCGGCTTCATCATGGGCAAGATAATCGTTGCCAAGGTCTATAAGACGACGCCGTTATTTTCCCCCTTGCTGAACAAGACACAACTTAAATGCTGGGGTTCGAACGTCTTTGTCAACGCAAGGCGGACTGAATTATCCGAAACGAAGGTGACAACTATCATCTAGTATGGTGGAGGCAATCTTGCACGAAATGGTGATCACTGTTTGACTTCTTATGCTCGTGTAGCTCCGTCGATATACCAGGGACCAGTACGATAGTTGTAGCTCGTCGACCTAGCTGTCGCAATATGTGTACACGTAGCTTAGCAACAAGTCATCAAAAAATAATTCTCTCGTTATCCAACATTTGTTTACATCCACAGAGGCAGTGGCCCAAAAGATCATAACATAGGGAGAGTTCTTAAATATACACATTCACAAATCTGATGTTGTTTGGTTGATATCATAATTCTCAGCATAGAACAACTCAACTAGTTACACCCAAAGAACCCAAGAGATGGCGTGGCTTTCATTTCGTTTCATCGTCAAGTTTCGCCGCCTGTCATTCCCGCCGTGTTCACGTAACCCGACGGTGGAAGGAAACTACCCAAATCTGTCAACTGCTTTTTCATGCGGTGTGCACCTCCTCGCCATTCACATCTTCGATCCGTCTTCCACTTTGGGGATATCCATATTCCGTCTTCCGTTTTATCTCATCGAATCCCTTTTCACTCCTTCTCTCTTTCTGCCTCTCAAACCTCCTGGAACAAAGACCAGTCCTTCACCTTGAACGTCTCCCAAATACGCGCAGCATACTCAACAGCGTCGCCAATCAGCTTTCCCTGCTTGCCGAGCTCCAAATCGACATCGGCCTCGTCGTACTCGCCCTTGATATGCGGCACGTTAATCGTGACCAAGATATCCGTCGACTCCTTCTCAAGGCGTACGAGGGTAAGAATGATGGCCGTGAAATCGGGCGCCGACGACGACGACGAACGGGACGACTTGCTCGCGTGCGGGGTCTGCGTCGCGATGAGGGTGTAGGCGGGAATGTCGGAGCTGAGGCGCGAGAAGGAGGTCTCGGTCGTGTTCCAGACCTTGACGGTGTCGACGTCCTCGCCGACGAGATCCTCGAGGTGCGTCGTCAGGGCGCGGCCGTCGATCTCGGGACTCGAGCCCGCGGGGCCGACGCGCTCCGTGATGTCGAAGATGATGCTCGTGAAACCGTCCGAGTCGATCCAGACTTCTTGGTTGTCGGGTACCTCGCGGAGTTTGCTGTGGTTTTTTGGGAAGGGGTTGTTAGTCTACTGCATATATATATATATATATATATATATATAGGATATGGCGGGTGACTGGGAGCTTGAAAGAGAGTGACAAGAGGAAGACGAGGGACGTGAGATAGGGAGGGGACCAACCTGACGTCGGCGAACTTGTCGGGCAAGTCGCTGACTAGAGCGCCGCCGTAGAGAGGGGTGCTTTTGTATCGGGTCATGGTGTTTGCTTCAGGTGATGGGTGCGTTTGCAGATGGTTGCTTCGATAGAATGACCTGCCCTCTTCTCGTAAAACGGGGCTTCCTTCGTAGGTGCTGTTGTAATAGAGATACACGGGCTGGCGCAACAGGTGCGATCGATGTGCTCAAGGTGTAGTCTGTAAGGTAGCCTGACGAAGCTTGTAAGGCGGGAATCAATGAGGACGCGGGACGGGCTGGGTATCACAAGAAGGTTACTGCAACAAGAATGTCACTCCAGGAAGAGCAACGGCGTTCTGGTCTGACTGCCCGCCTTATGTTGGCTGGCTGCCTTGCTTCCAGGTGCCGAGCAAAAGACTCGGCCAGGGCTGTTCAGTCACTCCAAGGTGGGGTTACGTCGGCTTGGGTAGAAAAAAAGGACCTGGCGTTTGCGCAGCAGAAGGAGGGGTATGACGACGATGGTGCCAGGGATCAGGTCTCCAGATGCGCCAGGTAGGTCACCCGTGCAGCAGCCCGGCAGTAGCCCAGCAGCTCCTTCAGCAACTCCACGCCGTGCGCTGCGCTCGCTGTGTTGGTCGGGCGCTGTCTTCTAACCCTCAAGACCTCGCGCGCGGCTTAACAGGCTGATGCGCAATCCAATTGTAGCATGACAAAAAAGGCACTGCAAGCTGCAATATCCGTCGCAGAGAAAAAGCGACGACTGGATCCTGTCGAGCAAGACATTCAGAACTCAAAAAACAAAAATTCGAACCTGGGTACTCCAGATGAGGGTGTGCCAAAGATTGGTGGAATGGAGTCTGTTGGGCCATCCAACGGTCACATCTGGTAAAAGGCAAGAGGTGAGTTCGATAGGAGGTCCCACTCCTACTTTTTGGAGGTAATTTGCTCTCCAAGTACCTTTCACACTATCTCCCGGTCGTAGCAATCCCCGAACCACCCCACACAAGCTTCCTCAGCTTCCGTATCCCCGCCCACCTCACTGCATATGCCCTCCGCATCTCTTCAATCCCGTCCTTTCCTTTGCTCAACTTCATCATCCTCACTCACCTTTCCCTCTCGCAATTCATACGGTGATTTCTCAACTTTGTCTAGACCATTTCAATTCTCGAATACGAAAGCAAGACTCAACATCCCCTCATCATGACGTCCAGCCTGGCTTCGTGCATCTTCTGCAAGATCATCAAGGGTTCGTCCCCATTCCCGCTCCTCATCTGATTCCAACCCCAAGACATCTCCGAACCCCCGCTATCGCAGAATCAACTGACATTTCGCCCCCCTTCAGGCGAAATTCCCTGCTTTAAGCTCTTTGAGAGCGAAAAGACACTCGCGTTCCTCGACATCAACCCCCTCAGCCGCGGCCATGCTGTAAGAACTCACCCATGTAATAATCATCCTGTGAAATATCCACTTACATTGTCTCCGCAGCTTGTCATCCCCAAGCACCACGGCGCCAAGTTGGCTGATATCCCCGACGATCAGCTCAGCGAACTCCTCGTAGGCCTTCCACCAGCCTCTCTCGCGCCCCCTTGTGTGTTCATTCTGACCCCTTGCGTTATTGCAGCCTGTTGTGAAGAAGCTTGTCGCCGCGACCGGTGCCACCGATTACAACATCCTCCAGAACAACGGCCGCATCGCTCACCAAATGGTCGACCACGTGAGTGTTCCCCCTTTATCCATCCACCTTGCCATTCATCATAGCTAATTATCATAGGTTCACTTCCACATGGTAACACTTCTCACCACCGCCTGCAATTCTCGTACTGACACCAGTTGGAGATTCCCAAGCCAAATGAGACTGAGGGTCTCGGCGTGGGTTGGCCCCAGCAGGCGACCGATATGGACAAGCTCAAGGCCCTCTTTGAGGATATCAAGTCCAAGATGTAGAGAAGCCAGTTTTGGTATTATCAACACCCCCGCCCTCAACTCAATAGCAGGGATATCAATTCCCCGTAATTCAACGTCCCTGGCTCTTTCAACCTCTTTTATCCCCCCGACCAATTCTCATAACCTGCGTGTACGTCCTTCGTGAATCTAATGCCGGCTGTGCCGGTCTCTAGTCTACATCATCGGCCGATGTCTCGACCGCGGGAGCTCCGTTAGTCGGCGCGGGTGCGGGTGCGGAAGCCGGCGTAGGAGCTGCTGTAGCGGGAGCGGGAGTGGCGGGAGCAGGTGCCCCCTTGGAGTACATGTCGATCTTGCCACCATCCTGGATAACGCCAGTCCGATCCAGGACGCACTTTGCTCGGAGGTAAGGATCGAGCTTCCAGTAGTCATCCCTGAGTTTGCGGGCAAGTTCCTCCCGCTGTGCCTTGATGGCTGCCTCCTTGTCTGTCCCGGCCTCTTTGATCCACTGGAGGGTTGTCTCCTCGTACTCGTGGACCAGTTCTTCCCTTCCAGAAAGCAGCGCGTCTCTTGTTGCCGTATCCTTCATCTTATCATTCTCTCCAGCGACTGGCTCCACGTACTTGTAGTCCCAGTCTTCCTGGCCGTCGAGCTCTTTGAGAATGTGGCTTGGCTCAATGAACTCTGACATTTCCTTGACATTGTTGGTGAAGTGGACCTTGGCAGCTACGACCGGGTCCAGCCAACCCTTGATAATCTTCCAGATACCTGATCATCGTTTAGTTGTGTTACTTAAGACCGATCATGGGGGAAACAAACCTTGGAAGACCCACGGGGCCTTGTGCACCAGAACAGCACCGAGAGATTCGGGGTAGTTTGCCTCGAAGCATTTGATCATGAACTTCACAGGGGTGTAATCCTAGAGCAAGGGTCAGGAAATATCCCATCAAGTCGCGCTGTATGGGGGTGACTAACCATGTTTGCCAGTGAAAAGCCGGTCATATCGAAAACGATTGTCTTTGTCCGATTAGCACAAGTCAGGCCGCCAAAACACGGATTAACTTACAGCAGTATCGACGGGAGGAGCCAGAACCATACGAGCTGTCTCAATCAAGAAGACAGTATACTTCTCAAGACTCTCCTCGCATTGCTCCCCCTGTCTATGCATGCGCACTCTGACCTGGCAGATCGGGCGTCCTCCCTTATCAAGGCCATGGATGAAAGTCTTGCCTGAACGAGCCTGGGCCATAAAGTCCTCTCCCAACTGCTTAATCTTGGGATCGGAATTTTGCGCAGCTTCGAGCGCACCAGCCTCACCACTCTTCATGATTTCATCGTCAACCTTCATCTCCGTCAATCTCCAGTGCATCGTGGAGATCATCATAACGAAAGCCTTCTCAACGTCCCACTTTCGCGCCCTCAGGAATCGCAGGGCAAGGGCATCGGGATGGTCATGCTTGACCATGGACCATATCGTGGCGCGCAAAGCTTCGGGACTCTGGTTGGCCAAAGCCTCCTTGAACTGTTGCGTTTGACCGTATTTGTCCTCGCCATCCTCCTTGATACCAGCTGGAATGGCTGTCGATGTCGCGGCGCCCTCTTTCTTATCCTTGCGGCTAAACAATGAAGTGCGCTTCTTCTTGGGCTTGTCGCCTTTTCCGGCAGCCGACGTTTCGCTTGGGGCTATGCTAGCAGATGCGCTGTCTGCAGCGGCGGTGCTGGTCTCCTCGCCCAAGGACAGAATGAGATGCCACAGCTGGCGCAACTTTTCCTCCTGCTCCGGCGTGAGGTTACCCGGTCTCCCAGCGGGAATGTCCGTCGCCATGACTTCTAATGGATGAGATTCTGCGAATTCGTTGTCTGGTTGAGGGTCAGGTTTGGAACCGGGGATTTGCTGATAAAACAGGCCGTATGCGCACGCAAGAGCAACGGCGATGGAGCAGAGGACGATGTCAACCCGTGACTCGAGGAGAACACGGGGTTTCTTGAGGTTGGGGAGGCCCGGTGACTGTGGTGATCCGAGTGGTTGGAATCGTCTGTAATTTGAGGGCTTGGAGGGGCAGTTGTATTTCCGAACACAGGGTCTGACTAGGAGCTGCCGTCCAAACCGCGAAGTCAATGGCAATTGTGCAAGGCGAGTCCCCGAAGCGTACTGGAGGGAGCTTTGCGAAAACGTGAAAATTCGAGGCAAAGCCGAGGTTTGTGGTTTCAAACAGACCGGCATCAGTCGACGACGTCAGTCAATGCTTCGGACTATATTGGTGGTGCTGAGACGGGGTCAGCAGGGTCATCCCACAGTGTAGTGCATTGGCAAATGGCGGCGGGTTGGAGAGGAAATTTGGCAAGGTAAAAAGAATCAAGCCGAGTGATGCGCGGATGGCCGGAATATGGCTTGCGCCGGAGGTTGAAGTGACGGGAGGGAGGGACAGACTGGGTGGCTGACATGCGCCGGAGGGGAGTTAAGGTATGGAGGGGTTGTGAGGATTGGGGAAAGACTAGGGTAGGTACCTACTTTGGTTACGCGGCTGATGGAGAGTTCAGGGACTGGCGTCTATGCGGTTGGCGGCCAAGGAGTAACAATGCAGAAAGACGAGAAGAGCAAAGTCGAGAGGACTGTCGAAGCCAGGTACGGGTACAGAGAGGTTGATGGATAACGCAGTGAGACCGGGTCTATTACGTGGGCAGTGAATGTGCGACGGAGGGGCAGCGTTGCGGACGGAGCTTTGAGCAAAGAGGAAAGTCGGGGGCGACGGGGATTGAGGGAGGCTTAGACGCGGCGGACAAGGAGGAGGAGGAGGAGGAGGACGACACCTCAGCGACAATAGGTAAGCGCAATGTTGCGAGGGTCGAGCGCTGTACTTGGTACCCCTTAGGAGGCTGTTCAAACTTCACGGAGTTGGTAGCTTGGTCACTGGTGGACGCAGATGTAGCTCAATTTCCGAGCGATCCGGACTGGCACAGATTCCAAGAGTACCGTTGGACCTTAGGTGCCTTAGTTGGTCTCTTTTGTTGTAGTACTTGGGTGTCAGCTGTGGATTTGCCCAATGTACCTTGGAGTTGGCGAGCTATTGTGGTGCTGTGGTGTGGTGGGAGAGGAACAGCTTTGCGGACCCAGCAAGGAGACCGACACCGACCAGGAGGGGTAAGGTATGGGTAGGTTGAGGTGGGATGTCGTTGGGAGCGGGGGGCTTGATGCGTGCAATCTTTTGCAGTGCAGTGAGATGGTGAAATGGAACGTGGTGATCGATTCTGGTTGTTCAGGTTTGCAAAATGGTGAACATGGACGCTGAAGTGTGGTAACCGTAAATCGTAAACCGTAAACGAGCACAATAAAATACGCCGTATTCGAATCCGTAAGATGCCTCAGGGTCGCAGGGGAAGTGCGAGTGCGAGTATTGGTATCTGTATCCGTACCTTCCTCATTACAACAGGTCCACCAAAATCATCAGAAATGGCCACGCGACCTCCCGTCGGACGCGATGAGGCAGGGACGCCAGGTACCTCCTACCTACCTACCTTACCTGTGCGTGTCCCCTCCCTGGTTGAGCGAACGCGAGGTGAGGTGCCCCGTGGGCGGTACCTTACCTTAATGGAACTTCGGGGCCGAGTCACGCGAGACGCGCTCGATACCTTGGGTGAACGTGGAACGTAGGTAGCTTGACTCCAGGACAAAAGCCTGCCCAAGCTTCAATAAGGAGTACCTGGGATGGGCCTGAGGAAACCCAAATTTGCGTCATCCCGCCTGATGACCAGCTGTCTGCCGGGGTCTTTTAGAGATGACGGGCGATTTCTTGAAGCCCCTACACGTGCTGAAATGCAGTTTTGGTTTGCGCCGAGTGTGGGGCCTTGCCCTGGGAAGATTGAACCCCGCCAGGAAAAAAAAAACGATACGCAGTCCGGAAATCCAGCCTTGAGGTGCCTTGTACTTGACGTCGGGCCACCAAAGCCGTCGGGTTTGTTGATGTTGACTTTCACTTGAACTTCCATCAACCAGCAACCAGAGCTTACCCCACAACTACGGTACTTCGACACCCCGCGTTACACCGACAGCTGCCATCGACACCAAAGAATCTGACGACGTCTCTCCCGCCGAGTTCCCAACGCAAAGTATTGCACGCAGTACATCTCGATTCCACTTCCACTGCCCATCATGGCAGATTACAACGCCCACGAGAAGCGATCCGGCTCGCGCACGCGCAACTCCCGTCCGACAACCCCCATGCGCCCGACTACGCCTCTGCGCCCTTCTTCGCGATCCTCCTTTCGCGAATCCGCCAGAGATAGTGTTCACGGCGGCGGCGAGTCGTTTCCCCTCAACACCTTTGAGCCCGCCTTTGCTGAGCTCTCGGATGCCATGGCCGACCTTGAGGCCAATATGATGCACTTCCAGCTGATGCACGAGAGTCTGGCGCGCTTCAGCGAATCTTTTGCGAGTTTCATGTACGGCCTGAACATGAATGCCTTTTGCGTCGATTTCCAAGAGGTGCGATTGTTCCATCAGCTATCTTTTGACGCACTAGCCAATGCTGATCTTACCTCGTTTAACCTCTCTAGGGCCCTGTTCCCGAGTCCTTCAAGAGGGCGAAGCTGCAGGAAGAGATGAACGCAGCCGCAGGATCAGGTACGAGCCCCAACACAATCTCTGGTATAACCTTGGCGGTATTTCTAACATGCACATTCACAGGCATTCCTCGCGCGTTTGAAAAGCCTAGCACTGATTTTGATGGCGAGACGACTTTTATGTACTGATGCATACCCTAGATTCCTCCGTTGGAGGCTTCGCAAGCATCCTGCTAATCACTTACAGGACCACTGACGTTTCGTTCGTTGAAAACCCGCCCGCCTCCTCCAAGCCAACCCCGAAATACAAGACCCCCAGCACAGCTACTAGAGGTTCCCGTGTGCCGGCACCTTCTACACGTGGAGGCACAACGCGTGGTCGCGCGGGAGGCCGCGGAGGCTCCGAGACAACGAGAGGCCGGGGTACCGGGATCGTCAGACCACGCGGCCGTGGCATCCGGTGAAAGTGCTACAACAGATGCCCGCTGTAGAACCTCATTGGTGGCATCATCGCCGCCGCCGCTTGCTTGCCTTGAGCCCCGAGCCATCGCAAGCTGGATCTCAACTTCCCGACCACGGCCCTTCAGGGCACAGTAAAGAGAAAGGGGGGATGGCAATTCCAGTACATTATGTCGTGAAAGGGTATCATCTAGCGTCTACTCTTGAGCCACGGTAGACTTGTGGGCAGGAGGCAAGCGCATCTCAGGTCTCCATCTCAATCTCCTGGTCGAGGGCCTTCTCGGGTCCTCCCTTGTTGGGACCTTTGTCGTCTGTTCGAATGCCGACGACGGCCTCTGCCTCTTTCTGGGTATACGGTTCCTCTTTCAACTGCTTGACCCTGGAAATGACTAGGTTAGCGGGGCCGCAACAGACGAGAGCACATATAGGCCAAGCGGAGGCATGAAAGTGTAGTAGGAGACGACGAACCTGCGCTTGTGAGGCTTTCCCTTACGGTGGCCTACGAGGCTGACTTCGGTCTCGAACCACTTGGCGCATTCGATGCAATAATGCTGACCCAGTCCTGGAAGATCCTCCTTTGCTTTTGATCCCGTGAAACGTTGGAGATGGCGCGGCGAGCGCAGATCGGCCTTGATCTGGTCGACATCCCTATAGTATGCTTTGTTAGGAACCGAAAGACGACTTATAGTTTTTCTTCGGTCTGCTCCTGTAAAATCCCTTACCTTGTCTTCCTTCGTGTCTTGGTCAAAGTTTTCTTGTTGGTGACGCCCATTTTTCTGGTTCGCCGAGTACGACGAGAGAAAGCGCTTATGGACCGTAAGGTGTCGCAGTTGCGTCAGGAATCGATTGGAGAGGGTGGCAGAATCCCAAAATTGAGACTCGAGATGGCGATGGCGGGGCAGAATTCTGGTGGTGAGCCGCAAAAAAGTTGCTTCACCGCTCACAAAAGACGGGGATTAGTGCCTCCGTGGTACCGAATCCACTAAAAAGTCCAGGTAGCACTTGGCGGGCAGAGTCGCCCGAAGCTTGAGCTAAACTCGGGGATGGAACGCGAGGGGACGCGCCCGGATAAATGAATATATGGGCACTCCTGTCACTTGTACCTCCAACACAGCTCCGCCTCCATCCCCGGGACGCCCTTACAACCCATCTTTAAAGATGACGGTTGTCCTTTCGGAAAGTCACCGCACAGCAAAGACGAACTAATTGTGCGATTGCGCAGCTCTCGGGAGCTGCAGAACAACAGCCTCCGTTATGTCGCGACTCATCTGTAAGAACAAACAAGAGAACCCCTTGATCCCCCTCTACTCTTACCCCGGTTATAGCTGACTTGACATCGCATCTGTCCAGCTTCGGCACTGTCGTTGCGTCGCGATCCGCGCATCCTCAAGCTCCCACCCTACATCTCGCTCGCATGCATTCTTGGTGGGATCGCATGGCTATTTCTCTTGCCTTTAAACGACTATTCACGACGAACCTACATTTCCGAGAATGCGCTGCTTCCGGGTCAAGTGCACACTTATTTCGGTGGAAGTGATCAGCATGTGCTGAGGGCGTATAAGCATGAGGTCAACTCGGTCAGGGACAAGTCAAATTACGAGTATGGTGCACCGCAATTGCATCCTTACGGCTGCTTTACGATTTGGGCTAACCACTGAAACATGATAGAATCAATGATAAGCTCGAGGGCATCCTCAAGAGCGTTGGTTTGAAGGTCGGCCGCCAAAACTACACATATGAATCCGCCGGCGACGTATACACCGGAGAGAATATCTACGCCATTCTTCAAGCTCCTCGCGGCGATGCCACGGAGGCTATTGTGCTCATCGCAGCCTGGAAAACAGTCGACGACAAGTTCAACCAGAACGGTCTGCCACTGGCGCTGACACTGGCGAGGTACTTCAAGCGGTGGTCACTATGGTCCAAGGATATCATCCTCGTCATTCCTCCTGACAGTAGAACGGGCACTCAGGCATGGGTCGACGCATACCACGACTCGCACGACTCTTCCAGGGTGAACTCGCTTCCACTCAAGTCTGGCGCTTTGCAGGGCGCCATCGCCATCGACTATCCGCAGGAAGACCGTTTCGAGTCCATCCATATCATCTACGACGGCATCAACGGCCAGCTCCCCAACCTGGATCTTATCAACTCCGTCGTTAATATCGCAGGTGGACAGATGGGCATGGGCACTGCCATTCAGGAGATGTGGTCGCACTCCGACAAGTACCGGGACCGACTCCTCACGATGCTTCGTGGCATGCTGAACCAGGGGCTCGGCCACGCCTCTGGTCCGCATAGCAGCTTCATCCCTTACCACGTGGATGCCGTAACTTTGCAACCATTCGGTGAAGGGTGGCATGATGAAATGGGAATGGGCCGCCTTGTCGAAGGAACTTTCCGGAGCTTGAACAACCTGCTTGAGCACCTCCACCAGAGCTTCTTCTTCTACCTACTCATGCAGAAGGAGAGGTTTGTGAGCATTGGCACGTACCTGCCAAGTGCCATGATCCTAGCCGCCAGCTTCACCATAACTGCGATCTCCCTCTGGGTGAAGAGTGGCCACCAGGATCAGCCGTCAGCTGCGCCCAACTCGGTGGTAAAATCCGAGAAGGAGGGCACTGCGTCTATGGAGGTACTCGAAACCGCAAAGGAAACGAACACGTCGTCACCTTCTGTTCCTGCCGTTGAACGCGATCTGTTTCTTCCTCTGGGTCTCGTTGCCGTCTGTCAATTTCTCGGTGTCGTGCCATTGTACATCTTCAATCATATGCCTGCAAACGTAAGCTCTCCTTCCCATTCTCGGCTCAACCAAGATTCAAATGCTCACTTTACAATCCCACAGATGCTCGCTAGCGCATACACAGCATTCGCCCTCGCCAACTGTGCCCTGCCCTTCTTCATCTCCTCGCTCCTGAAATCCACGTACAACCCTACGGTCCAGCAATACCAGCTGATCAAGTCCTTCTCCCTCCTCCTGCTCGGCATGTTTCTCTCAGCTCTGGCGACCCTCAACTTCTCTCTCGCCTTCCTTGTTGGTGTCATGGCCAGCCCGCTGTCCTTCATGCGGCCGTGGCCAAACCACGCGGCCGTTCGCTGGGCCTGCGCAGCTTTTCTCCAATTCGCCTCCCCGACGGCGGCGCTGTACTCTGTCTCGTCGTACTTTGGTATCAGTATCGGCGAGGTCCTCAAGGAAGCGGCTTTCGGTTGGGATGTCTGGGGCATGTATACACCTGTCATTATCTGGGGCGTGTGGTGGCCTGCATGGCTCATGGGATCCGTCATTGTGCTGGGACAACCTACAGCCAAGTCAAAGAGTGCATGATATAAGATACTAATAGATAGTCTATTGAGACAGTGAGAGTATCCACTGATACTGTGTATTAATACCATGTAAACGATATTGAGAACCGCCCGAGCAGCCAGCAAAGGTAGAATATAAAGACAAATAAGATACTAATAGTGTTGGTCACGTAGTCTGTATGACAGCATAATTCCTGGCGGAGCTTAAGGAACGACAATTACCAAAAACGTTTTGAGCTTTTAGAATTATCGCATCGGGAAAAGGGGCAATAGCATTGTCATCAAAATCATTACGGCCCTTTTTTGGAGGCCGAATTCCATTCCTCTTCTAAGTCTAGTGGTGTACACTGGTCTCCCCGTCCGCCACCGTAGACCTTTATTACAGGCATAGTTTTTCCTTTCCGCCCATAACCCTGGTATCCTCTGCTGTCCACTAAGCTGCCCACACGTCGCCGCCGGCGGTCTCGATCCAGTTACCAAGCTGGTTGACTTGCGAGTCCCAGTCGAGCAGCCGCTGGCGCATGTTGCCAATTTGCTTCATATCAAGCACCTTGGGCTGGACCCAAGTGATGTGCGCCACCTCGTCGACCTGGTCAATGTTGCCGCGCAGCAGACCCAGGCTGAGGGCCTTCATGATGAGGTGCTCGATCTCGTTGGGACGAACCTTAGTCTCCTGAGCGATATCGGCGAAGGACATGGCACGGTCGTGGGGCGGCCGGCGGAAGACGGCCTCGGTGAGGGACGCGAGGTAGATCTTCTGGCGGAGGTGGCCGGCGTTCTCGGCGAGCAAAGGCTTGGCCCGCATGCGGGCCGAGAGAGCCTCGAAGCCCTGTAGGTCGCCGCGGTTGAAGGCGAAGAGGAGGTCGCGGAACCACTCGTCCTGCGTGCCTTTGAGGGCGTCGAGGACGGGGTGCAACAGCAGCTCACCAAAGTTGTAGATGGTGTCGGAGACTAATGCGGCGATGCTGAGGTGCAGCGCTCTCCTGTGTCGCTCCTGGGGTGTGAGGGAGTTGATGTCGATGCAGGCGAGGTAGAGAAGGGCGTTGCGGTAGTAGGCTGCGAATTCCATCTTGCGCTGAATTTGAAAACTACATCAGCAAATGTCCTGTACTTGCTTGGGGAAGGTGGGCGAAGTGCTGACCTGGTAGTAGTTGGCATTCGCATCATAGAACGCTGCGTGGACAATCGTCTCGACGGAGTCGAAGCTGTCCAGTATTCTCTCGGCTGTGTCGAGGTCCTTGCGGGCGCCATCCATATCCTCCAGATCCAGCTTTACTCTGGCAACAGCGACGGAAGCGTATACCAAAGCATCCTGTGAGTTCTCGTTGTCTACCTTCTTCGCGACTCCTTGGAGGAATGTGAGGCGCTCCTCATCATCTATAACGACCCCGTCAGTTTCATGCCCTCTCCTAACTCCTGTGTGGCTAAGCCTTACCAGAGCATTCGGTGGCAGCCTTCAATGCCAAGTCGACAAGCTTAAGCTGGTTGATCTTATCCGCAAACTTGAGAATGAAGACCTTGTAGAAGGAGAGTCGCTGGGGCTTGCTGCCCGGGTGACTGAAGAACTGGCCGAGGGCATCGGTGAGCTGGTGCCAGAGTTTCCTCTCCCAGTAGTTTTCGAACTCCAGAACGAGGTGCTGAAGTTCCTCGGGGGCCTCGTCGCGCTGCTCCGCCAGGAAGTCGGGAATTGCGTCGGCGCTCATCTTGGTGGGAGGTCTCGGTCGGTGGGTGTGTGAGCTTCGGAGGGGTTGAGGATGACGACAGAATCGTTGGAGAAAGACCAGATGACAGTTCGTTCCTCAGATTACAGCTTCAGGGGCAGAGGGTTTGAGGCTCAGGGGCGGACTTTCGTCGTGGAAAATGCCGGGGAGTTCGTCTGGTAGTTGTGTGAATGGTGTTGATGAATGCAAGCAGCAGCAGTTGCTAGTAGCAGCTCCGGAGGGGCGATGCACATAACGCGGCTAGCTAGCAGCCTGGTCAGTCAGCTAAGGTACAGAGGTACGTAGCGCAGCACCGATTCGGATGCTTCTGGACAGAACCCACTTCCGGATAGGATGACCAATGGTTGTTTTTCCGATCCTATGACCATGAAATGGGCCGTGCACCTGCTTCCACGTGACCCGCTCACCTTCCGTCCGGGATTCTGGATGAAGCTCGCGACTTTGGAGCTTTCGGCCGGTCAAGAAGCGTTCAGTTGCGAGTCAATTGAGGGGCCACCGCACTTATTTGTTGCAGCCTCGATATCCGAAAATGGCCTCCTTTCAAACCGCCGTGCGGTCGACCCAGAAGGTCGCGCACAATGCCTTGAGAAGCAGGCCCATCTCCGATATTGCCATCACCCGTACAGGCAAACCCATCCTGCGAACCCAGGGCGGAAGGTAGGCATGCCAATCAATTGCGTTTCTATAGGACGTTGCTGACTCGATTCTGAATACAGACACTCTCTTGGTGGTATGAACCGATCGAACGAATTGATCACGGCACGTTTGTCTAAGGTTGAATTACAGGACACACTGCGACGGTTTTCGGCGCAACGGGACAGGTTGGACGATACATCGTGAACAGGCTCGGTACGACGATACACATACGACGAACTTTTACTGCAATACTGATCGATTCCAATAGCTCGCCAAGGATGCACCGTTATCGTCCCTTTCCGTGAGGAGATGGCCAAGCGCCACTTGAAGGTCTCTGGTGACCTTGGCCGAGTCGTCTTCCTTGTACGGTCTCCCTTCCGATGCGGCGGACTGAAGTCTAGGAAGACTAATGAAATGGCTATAGGAGTACGACCTCTACAACACCCAATCGATCGAAGAGAGCGTTAGACATTCCGATGTTGTCTACAACCTGGTCGGCCGTGACTACCCCACCAAGTAGGTCTATGAAGCGAGGGGCATTTGAAGATCGATGGCTAAGAAAACGCCTAGGAACTACTCCCTCGAGGATGTCCATGTCGAGGGAACTGAGCGGATAGCTGAGGCTGTTGCCAAGTACGATGTCGATCGCTTTATCCACGTCTCCAGTTACAACGCCAACCTCGAGTCAACATCCGAGTTCTTCCGCACCAAGGCCCGTGGCGAGCAAGTCGCTCGCAGCATCTACCCCGAGACCACCATTGTGCGGCCGGCGCCCGTCTTCGGTTTCGAAGACAACCTCCTTCTGAAGCTCGCTAACGTCATGAACCTCTTCACTGCCAACAACATGCAAGAGAGATTCAGGCCCGTCCACGTAAGCTCTCCGTAATGATGCCTACCTTGCGTAAGACCTAACAATTGCAGTCCATCGACGTTGGCCAGGCTCTCGAGGTCATGCTCTACGACGACAGCACAGCAGGTCAGACCTACGAGCTTTACGGCCCCAAGGAATACTCGATGGCCGAGATTGCCGAGTTTGCCGACCGTGAGATTTTCAAGAAGCGCCGCCACATCAACCTCCCCAAGGCTGTCCTCAAGCCTATCGCCGGTCTCCTGAACAAGTACCTCTGGTGGCACACCATGTCTGCCGACGAAGTTGAGCGTGAATTCATTGACCAGGAGATTGACGAGACCGCCAAGACATTCAAGGACCTCGGCATCGAGCCCGGTGACATTAGCAAGTTCACATACCATTACCTGGTAAGGACGCCCGTGATTTTCTCTATCAGAGTAACCTTTATTGACTTCCTTATAGCAAGGTTTCCGCAGTGCCAACTTCTACGACCTGCCCCCTGCAACAGAGAAGGAGAAGAAGGAGGAGCGCAAGTACCTGCACGTTCTTGACGAGTAAGCCTGGGTTTCATTTGTTGGAGGGATTTGATTCTGGGCAAGCAAGTCGTTTAGAGTGTATATAAGTAGTCAGCTAGACAGAGTTGCAAAAGTCGAGGAATCCATGTACAGTTTGAACAGCATCTCTCAAATGTGCGGACTTTCTACAATGTGGTTTTTGCTCCGTGGTGTTGGCATCAGTTGGTATGTCTGCAATGTCAAAGCTGATTCGTTGATACAGTGTAGTTTCTGACAGTTCAAACTGGGTCCTTGACACAGACTTAGCAGTCCTTTCACCTCACGTTGCGACTCAGTTTTCCTCTTACATTTTAACCCTCTTGGTCACTGCAGTCGTTATCATAAAACTTTGTTCGTTCGCGGCTGGCTCACATGCAGGCTTTCTCTTTTCCCTTTGCTCACCAAACTCACTAAAACTTTTCGTCAAAACACAGTCAAGATGAGCATCTCAGACAGCGAGGACGAGCCTCTGTAAGCCAGCTCCAAAGAACCGAAAAATTCGAACTATCCCCGTCTCCACCGGACAAGTGGCACAGTACTGACCTAACACTTCTTCTTTGCGCCGACAGTGCTCTCTCTTCGCACGCGTTGGCGGCGCTGGCCGAATTCAAGGCCGAGGAGGATGCCCGTCTGAAAGAGTTTGAGAGGCTCCAGGAACTAGCGGAGGCGAATGCGGCCAAGAAGGCGCCGATATCCATGGCGGCGTTCATGGAGGACTGGAATAAGTCGCAATTTTGGGTAAGGAGGAACCTTCATCAGCACGCAGAAAAGCAATGCGCTTTTTTCCAAGGGTTTCTGGAAAAGAGGAAGCACAAAATTCTGACTTGAAATTTTGTTTCTGTTCCCTTAGTATTCTGACGAGACGGCGGGTTTCTTGGCGAGGCAACTCCTCGAGGGCGCTGATGCGGATACCACGATTGCGATTGTGTCTGCGCCCAGTGTGTTTGTTGCTCTGCATAATATCCTGGTAAGAGCACCGCTATAAGGGGCGATTCGCCATGTCTTTGGACGATATATTGACTGCTCTGCAGACTGCGCGAGACGAGAGCGAGGCCCGGCCAAAGGTCTTTTTGCTGGAACACGACAACCGCTTCAACGTCTTCCCTGAGTTCGTCTTTTACGACTTTGCGCAGCCCTTCAAGCTCCCGGGTGAGCTCAAGGGTGTCGTAGACCGCTTCGTCATCGACCCGCCATTCCTCAGTGAGGACTGCCAGACCAAGAGTAAGCTTAACCCCCTCCTCCCGGGATTCAAGTAGAAGAAAGAAAGCCTCCATGCTGATAAAGTTCTTTGATCTCCAGCCGCCATGTCGGTCCGGTGGATGATGAAGCCGGATGTCGCCGAAAAGGGCCGCGTCATCGTCAGCACTGGCGAGCGCATGGCTGAGTTGGTGAACAGGGTATACAAGCCCCTCGGTGTCAGAACCGTCACATATGAGCCGAGCCACGAGCGAGGGCTCAGCAACGAGTTTTGGTGTTACGCAAACTTTGAGTGCAAAGACTGGACGTGGCGGGAGGCGGCTTCGAGTTGAAAAAAGGGGGAACAGATCCTTAGAAAGTAGACCGAGGCAACGCGACCCTCCTCACATGGGGTGGCGAGCTCATGATGATAGGCCTGCCCTCTTGCCCTGACGCGGCCCGATTTGGCACATATTTCTGGTTTGCGAGATTTCAATAGAAAGTACATACGCTTGATCGCTGTTCTATACAATGATGGCTCCTTAGGATTGCCATCCAAAATGCGGATTTTGTTATTCGCCTTTGCCAAAGGGCCCAAGATGATGCATTACCCACGTTTATTTCCAACGCCGACAAGATGCTTGATCCTCCGTCGCCCCCCGCCTTCGCCATTCCAAAGCGCCCCTTTTCCCCATACTTTCGGCGGGCCACCGTCTTGACCTCGTTTGACCTGGTGGCATTACTGTTTTACACTGCTAGGCGTGATACGTTTCGTTCTCTCTCGAGGTATGAGGTTACGAGAGCGAACGAATAATGTAGAAGAGCAGATAGGGTTGAGCACTCATGACGTCTGACTTTGACGCCATTTCAACCTTGTGGTCGTTGAACTTGAACCACTGGTCGCCTACTCGGCAGTAGGATACATAATGGCCTAGGTACTCAGTCAGTAACGGCGTTCAAATTGGTTCGTCATGTGTCAACTGACCCGTGTCGATCTCGCCCACGTGGACCACCACACTAAGGAGGTCGTACGTGCAAGATCTTCCGAGGTCAAAGGCATCCTTGGAGTCCGCGCCTCTACCTCTGGTAGTATATGGCAGCATGTTGAGCTGAAGGGGGAAGTTAACCACCGTCTCGATTTTTGATGCGCGGTCATGGCGGCCCTGCTTGTACTCAAATCGCTAGTAATGATTGTTAGCTGGCGACAAGGGCACCATAATCATGCGGCTAGACATACCTTGAGCTGTATCGCGAGCACATTTGGCAGCCGCTTAATGCTGGTGGCTCTTTTGGCCTGCTGCATAGAGCTGCAGTTGTGGCACCGATACTCGCACTTGTCTGACTTGACGTATTCCTCATCCAAGCACTCCTGCAGAGTCAGGCTGGGCACCTTCTGGCCTCCCTTCTTTCTCCTGTGAGAGAGGTTCTCCAGTCCGAGACTGAGGTCCAGGAAGGATTGAACAGCGTTGGTGACGCCTCCGCAGTTCTGGCAAGTAGTGCCAGTCTGGAGCTTGCCGTAGAATGTCTGGTGGATGATGCAATTACATGTATGCTCGCTTCCAGTCTCAGGACGCTTGCCATCTCCATTGCGCTCATGCAGCTCCTCGGCGAGGAATTGAAAGAACTCATGGGCATCCTGCTCCTTGGTGGTAACGAGGTTCTCAAACGCCTTCTTCTCCGAGATCCAGAATCCAGACAGAATACTAGCCGCCGTGAATCCATTAGTATTCTCAACAGCATAGAAGTCCTGGAACATGTCGTCCATGGCACAGCTGAGGCAGTTTGTCAGCTGGCAATCGGTGCTCTGATGGCCGTCGCTGAGATAAAAGTTGCGCAGGAGGGGGTTGTGGAGGAAGCTCTGCAGCACCACATTCTGGTAGCATGTTGCTCCGGCATTGTAGATTCCGCGCAGACCATTGGCCTTGCAAGAGGCAGTGGTGGTGTTGTTGGATATGAAGCCTGGGTTGCTTGCAGAACTGTCCTTTACGCCATCTGAGAACATCTCATCGTGCTTTCTCTTGCGGTCTAGAAGATCAATTAGCATGTTGGTCAGGCAGCTAGGAGCCAAAGCTGGGCGATACAACAACGCAGGTTGTAGTTTGAGGTACGAGGGGGACAACTCTCATGAGTCGAGACAACTTACTGGAAAAAGTTCCTGTTCCCATCTTACGAACTCGAAGCTCCTCGAGAGTGGGGTCCCAAACTAGGTCATCACAGATCTGGCAGTAGAGGGCACCACTCCTTGAGTCGACATCTAAACTTTGTTAGGAAATTCACATTTGCTTTCGGTGACGGGCCACGTACAGAAGCGATGCTGCTTCTTTGTGCCGTGCTTGAGACGATCATCCTCATTGACAATGGCGGAGCATTGTAGACAGAGGTAGTTGGATGTGAGAGACGTCATGACCTGGCCGTCAGAGTTCTTGAATGTTTGCGGCACAACAGGCGTATGCTCAAAGATGTTCTTGAGGATCATCTTGTAGTGGTGGACACATTGGGTAATACCCTCTGTGGACTGGGTGAACAGCCGCTGGATGTGTTCTGTTTGTATCCTGTCAGCCTGACTCTGGCCCATTCCTGCCGCCGCAGCAAGTCACAATCGGGGTCTACTGACCGCAGCCAAAGACTGGTGTGCCAGGGAGGGGCGATTTGACCTTGGCGGTCTTTGGGGACATCGGCGTTGTTGGTCGAGCAGACATTTTGGATGTTGTGGATGGTGTTGTTTAATTAATCGGTCGGTCGTCCTGCTCTTTCGCCTAATTGCTCTTGCCTTGAAGCACCTGGAAAGCAAAATACTTGGGATTTTCCTATTGCGCAAAAAAAGCCGAGGCAAAAAGTGATCCAAAACCGAAAAGATAAGTTCGTGATTCCGACGATGGGCAAGGAAGGCGTCGTGGATTGGTAACGGCCGGAGTCGGGCCAGCGCAACAATACTACTGGAAATCCACCGTTAGCCGCGAGTTCGTCGCAATACAATGGGTCAATTGGTAAGACAAGAGACGGAAACATAAAGTGAGAGTAGGATTTACCGGCTAGAAAAGCCGAGCTCGTGATGCTGAGAAAAGTAGAGGATGTTTGGATTGTCGGAAGGAGCGATTTCGCGCCGTGGTGAAGCTCCCCAGAGAGTGGGCGGGTGGGCGAGCTTTGGTGGATGGCGCAAGCCGAAGATAGAGAAGGTCCCCGCGGGCTGTCGCTTCCAGTCCCAGTCGCAGCTGTGGACGAGGCCGAATTTGGTGGTGCAGAAGGAAGACAGAACCAAAGGCTCCAGACTGCGACAGATTTCATGCGCAAAGAGCAAAGTGATTCAGGATCGTCGGGAGGGCACAGTTCCCAAAAGGCCTTACAAACAATCCCTGGAAGTTGCAAATGTTGGAGCTGGCACTGGGTGCACAGACGGGTAGATTCCGTGGCGCCAGCGGCCAACAGGCAGTAAATCCAGGTCTTATCGGCACCTGATCGGGCGGTTTCTTATCGATAACAGCTTTTGCTTATCCGCCTGCCGAAAGTCCCCCTATGCCCCTGAATTCCCACAGGACCTCGGGGGCACTTTTCGGTGGGTCCAGAGAAGGACCCTCCCGTCGCAACGCGACAACAGTGAGGTCACTGTCACTGGTGAAATTCTATATGAAGACATTGCTGAGGTAAGCCGCTTACAAGAGCCATCATCAAAGTGCCTGTCGGTGCATTTGGTTCAACCTCGGTATCTTCACTGCCCCTCCATTGCGTCTTCACGTACATGGAGCACCAACTTATCCTCTATTCGCCAGATTGAATGCCCAGCGTCACGTCGCGGCTAACTCTCTGTCGTATACCTGAAGGAACATGCGGGGTCTTGTGTTCAGCGTGCTTTCCCCATGTAATCGCAACGCTGGTTTGTGACTAAGACGGCCAATTTACTCAACTACAACCGGGACTAGACATATTGCCCGTCTGAATCGTACCAAGAACAACAACACAATGGCTTCACAACTAGTATCGCTACCCGAGGTCGAGCGCCTCAGCCCAGCCTGTATTCGCATTCTGGGAGGCAACCCTGGAAAGTTTACGCTGCAGGGCACCAACACGTATCTCGTCGGCACAGGCAGCCGCCGTATACTCATCGACACAGGCGAGGGCAAGCCATCGTGGATCGCCGCGGTCAAGTCAACCCTCGAGCAGGAAAAGGCGACGGTGGAGAAGGTACTGATCACTCACTGGCACCATGATCACACGGGCGGCATCCAGCAGCTGCTAGAGCTGTCTCCGAGCTCAGAGGTCTTCAAGAACCATCCCGAGGAGGGCCAGTCAGACATTTCGGACGGCCAAAAGTTTGTTGTCGACGGTGTCAGCCTTACTGCTGTCTTCACCCCGGGGCATACCGTCGACCACATGGCCTTCGTCTTGGAGGAGGAGGACGCCATGTTCACGGCGGATAACGTCTTGGGCCAGGGTACCGCAGTATTCGAGGACTTGACCGTCTACCTCAACAGTCTCGAGAGAATGCAGAGCCTGTTCAAGGGAAGGGCGTATCCGGGTCACGGGCCCGTGATTGACAACGGCCCGTCCAAGATTCAAGACTACATCAACCACCGGATGGCTCGAGAGGAGCAGGTCATTCGTACGCTAAGGACGGCGAGGCAAGGCTCTAATATCGAGGGCGATCCCTATGCCTGGACGGTCATGGAGCTTGTCAAAGTCATTTACGCTGACGTTCCTGAGGAGCTGCATATCCCGGCGAGCGGTGGGGTCATACAGATCTTGGGAAAGCTCGAAAAGGAAAACAAGGTGGTCCAGAGTGATGAGAGATGGAAGTTGAAAGATCGATCTGCGTTATAATTCGTCCAGATGATGAAACGGGGCAGAGGTGTTGGCGGACCTTGGTCGGAGCCTCGGATCCGAAGACGGCAGATTTGACGCCGTGATATGTCATACTTAAGTAGGAGGAAAGTGGGGATGGACCTCATGGCTTTGAGGACTACGCATATCATAGAAACCAGACGATCCCGCAATGAGGGTATGAATGTGCTGAGCGTATAATGCAATACACTATACGTCTACAATAGCTTCGAGTTTGCCATAGTCAGCCGGCGATTGGAAGAATCGCGTAGCTTAGATGGGCCATGTGCATCGCGATGGCTCTGCGGCAAGGTTACACAGCGCAATGAGACCGCCGGAAGGTTCGGACAAGTCGAATCTCGTGACGGCGCGGGACGTACGATGAAAGTGGGGCGCCACCTGGAAGGCTAGAAACAGCGGTCGCGGTCTGCATCTCTCCAAGGATTCTCTTCTTCTTGGTAGCATCGAAACGGATGCGCTGTTCCGATATCTTGTGACGCAAGCTCAACGCAGCAGAGGTTGAGGGCGGTGTGGTGCAGTAGTTGACATGGAATAGACTAGAGCATTGCGGGTGATATGTCACAATCTCACCTTATCGAATGTTAGAATGTCAGAGAAAACTGGTGCGGCGGTATGTCTTTGTATGTCCAGCTCACCTCAAGCTGTTATACTGGGTGTTGTAGTCGGAAGGGTGACCGAGATATCCGCCCTTCGACTGCAGATGTGACTCGATCAATATTATTTTACAATTGCATAGAAGCTGATGTTCCTTCGATATTATCGAGAAACAGCGTCATCATCCATATCAAGCAGAGTAGCCTCAAAAACTTCCTACGAATTTTGCGATGCCCCGTGATCGATGCGGGTCGGACTCCGACTTGACTCCGGAGCCACCGACCGCAAGCCGCGGGAAAAGAGGGGCGTTCGCTTATGATGTCTCGCAGTGCTTCAACAATCAGGTCCGGTCGGCCATGAGAGGTACCCAAGGTACTCCAGGTAGGTACATCAAAGGTACAACGTACCCGCCAGTCTGTCATGTGGAGCCAAGAAGGAGAGCGGGATCGTGGGTTTGACGGGCGGATCGAAGGCAAGGATGCGCACGTACGGATTTCTTATGTGGGTTTGGCCAGGTGGTGGGCGGATGGGTTGTGGATTTCCTGCTTGCATCCATCCATGTGGATTTTTGCTCTCTTCTTGGTGGAGTTGGGCGAACTAGTTGTTCATGAGGCTGCTTTAATTTTTCCTTTTGCTGACTTATCCTCTACTTGTTGGCTTCTAGGTGCCATCCCATTTGTAATACGGTCACTATATGGCGTACCGCGATGTTGTTCCCCCCAGGTTTCTGTACGTGATGAATCACAGTGTATCATCTGGGCCGGCGTCTGTTGACGTGGGGTATGGCTCATTGCAGGTTTCGGTCAACCGCTCAGGTTGAACATACTCAGGCCAAGGGCATGGCGCAGAGAGAAGCAGGAGAAGTCATTGGCTCCCTTGGGGTTAGACCATTGAGAGGAGCAGAGCAAAGTCTCATTGCAGAATGCAAGCAGGCAGCAGAATAGAAGTTACAGGGAAACAAGCTCAACATCATCAATATAGGAAATCAGAAGTTCAGAAGTTTCACAACCCCATGGCCGGGCGGTCTACGGGGGTTACGGGACGTGAGACACGCCGTAACGTACTCCGTACATGGCCTGTTCGTACGGAGCTTTCGTGTATCCTCCGTGTCCGCAAATTTTACTCGTCTTGGCGCCGCGTTGGCAAAGGCTCGGCCGCCCGCCGGGCGTCGTTCAACTTCCAACTCGGGGTGAGAAAAAATACACAGCCTTCAGGCCTCAAGATGATGTTGCAGTGATAGCAGAGCTGGGCGTCAGAAGGATTTGACGCAGGGCTTATTCCCAACGGACGGAGGTTCGGAAGCGCGGCCAACACTTTGGTTTCGTTCTTTTGTTCTTACGTTCTGGATTACCTAGACATTTCATGTCGGTACTTCGCGCTTCCCGCATCGGCCGGCACTGGGGGTCCTGCACGTCTTCGTTCTGCTTATTAACAAAACATTTTCTCTGCCCTATGAGATTTTAGCTCGCGGCCGGGCCCCTTCTCAGTCTCTGCTTACCGCACCCATCGGTGGAGTGGGAACGACGCACACCACACCACACCACAACCTCCACGGAAGTTACACTACAGATCGACGCAGGCAAGGCAGGACAGGGATAGGTAGGTGATGCGACGGAGTTATGTGATGGCGATAGGTAGCTCGCCCGTCTCCCCCGTGTGACTCAACTCCCATGCCTAGACGGAAGTGTTCACAGGTCTTCGGGTCTCTGAAGGGCGCCACGTTCATGTAAGAATCTGACATGGTGGGACACACACCACTAGCAATGTTGGTCCGTAGCAAAGTTGACTTACAAATTCAATGAGCCCTTCTTTAGTACCACGGGTGGACAGCAAAGACAGCCTCGCACATCTGACGACGACGCTTGAGTGGCTGCGGCGAGCACCACGAATCGACGCGTGTGTTATTGACGGCTTGGTGGTCAGATACCATCTCGCAGGGCGTTTGAGGCCTGAGGTAAGGAGAGAAAAGGCAAGTCATCGGTGATTTACACTAACGACAGAGAACGGCACTCGGCTACCGCGATCTTGGCGATAAGGTTGTTTTGTTTGGTGTTGGTCTGTTGCTCCGTAGTCGCTACCTTACCCACTCACCCCCCTGGTTCCCTAGTCCCCGTTGATCCCGGGAGAGTTACACATAGCTGCATGGTCACGGATTCCATGTTCAAGGGAGTACATCTCGATGCTGGAAGTTGCCCTCTCTTCTCTTCCTTATGAGGCTGACATGTTAAGTCAGTGGTGCATTATGTATCTTGATGAGATCCAGCCACTCACTCACCAGGAACGAGAGTCTCACTTTGATGTCACGATTGGGGACGTTTGATGGATGAGCTTGAATGACTAAGCGTGTAAGTAGTGTGAGTGAGCCAACGGATGAGTGAGAGTACGGATTCCAACTGCTCCCAGGAATACCCTCTCTTTCTCAAGGCAGGTAAGGTGTGTACTTACCTCACCTTACGGTCCTTACTTACCTTGTCTGGCCGTCTAGGTCTGCACGCTACTGCACTCATCGCAACCTTCTTCTCTCCAATGAGGTGGTTATGAAAAATTCTGGCAGGGTCTCATGGCGTCACTGCCGCGAAATCCGCTGGAGTAAGGCAGCTAGTCTGGTAAGCTGGTGCAGGAAAGCTCCCCGCACCCCCGCTAGATTCCCAGGATGCGTAGTGCTTGCCCCACCGGCATCACTAACGGTGCAGAGGAAATAGGCAAGGTAGAATCTCAGGGAATGAAGCTCTCGCGCCTTCCATGTCGTCCACATGTCACCCCTTCAAGCTGCTTACACTACCTACTGTGTACTCCCTTCCTCTCACCTCCATCCATTGTTCAACGTGTTCACACCGGCCAGCTCCCGTAGCTTCGGGTCGGTGGGCGGGTACATTTCTGGAGTACCTCCGCCAGCAAGGCAAGGTGGGTGACATGTCACTACCTAAGGTACCGTTCCCATCCCGCACAGCTCTTGGCTTAACTCCTCCCTCCGGTCACTGGATGATGCTGAACTTGGCCGGACCCTCGCTCGTGGATGCCTTCGGAACCTTCGGAGTCGGTCTTTGCACATTTTTTGACCTTGTCACCACTTACACACACGCTGCCGAGCATACTTGCTGCCACTCGCCTCGCGTTTACCACGGTCGGTGACTTCTTTCTCGCGGCGGCCGCCGCCTTACCTTACATGGGGTGGGCAGGATGACTTCCAGGAAACCTGCCTGGACAACATGTGCGATACATCATCGGTACTTTCTTGCACCATCCCATAAGGAATGATGGAGATGGGGAATGTGCATGGGTATGACCTGACTTCTGGCTGCCCGGTCTCAAGGTACTCAAAGCCCGGCCATGTCATCGCCGTGTACCGACGCCAGCTCCAAGAAGCTATCGTTGGGCTATCCTTCACCGTGGCTTTGTACCTCACTTACACCTCTAGACAAGAATCTTGTCGCAAAAGGACTTCTCTCGGTCTCCGCTACGGTGCTGGCGCCGGTGCGACGTCTCTACTTCTCTCTTCGCTAGACCCCACTCTGCTTGTTGTTTAATAAAGGCGGCCCGACCTCGCTCTCGCTCATAGAGTCTCCTCAATAATTTGGAAGCTTACCCTCCTGCTCTCTGTCCTTGCGTACGAAGCTGCGAAGAGGCGCCAGATAGACCTCTTACCGACTCTACCGTACCTTGTCTGAATAGACCCGGGGAGAGGTCGAGTTCCTCTTTGCGACATAGCCGAATCTTCCTCTTCTTCTCTTACGACAACGGATAGCTTAGTCGCAAAAGGGCCCTTGATGAAATTGTCAGCTAGCCAAATCACCACGGTCGTGGTACTGGGCATTGCGCCCTTGGCTGTTGCCCATGGCGCTCACGAAGCCGGCGCCGACGCCATGGAGATGGACATGGGCATGGCACAAGGCGCAGACGAGTCGAAAGCCGAATCCAAAAGCTATCCTCCAACATACTTTGCGCTCGTCGACCATGCCGGAATAATGTACGCACACATTGGACTCATGGTGCTTGCCTGGGTATTTGTTCTGCCAATTGGTAAGTTTGACGAGCTCTGGCCAGTAATCCTACGCTGACTTACACGCGATTCGCAGCTGTGATGCTTTCCATTGCTCGCTCTAGATATACACTTGCGCTGCAATTTGTTTTCATGGCCGTCAATGCGCTTGGAGTTCTCCTGGGAACAATCTACAATGCCAGCACGCCTGATCTCTACCCCAAAAATGCGCACCACAAACTGGGCTGGCTGGTGACTTGGGTTCTCTTGGCGCAGGTCCTGATCGGCCTTGTTGGAAGAGTTGCTGGCGCTTTGAGGCACGACAGGCGCGGAACATCCGACAGTAACCAATACCAGTCATTCATTCCAGTAACTGCGGCTGCTATGGCAGAGCACCACCGCGTTAACAGCTCTCGATATGCTAGCGAGTATCGCCTGTCCAACGACAGCGGGCAGGGCACCGAGCCTTGTACCGAATCGCTCCGGAGTCATTCCCGCTCCTCATCGTCCAATGAGGTGTCCCCGCGCAACTCCGACGCCTACCTAAAGGAGTACGCCGAAGAAGAGGACGATATTGAAGATGGCCTTCCCATGCCCATGCCGAGTAACAGGGACGAGAACACCACTGCCAACCCCAGGTCGACGATTGCAAGAGTAGCGGGGAAGATTCCTTCGCGCGTGTTGAAGGGCTTGGTCTTTTTCTACAACTCAATCGATAGACTTATCTTGCCGCTGGGGTTTCTCACCTTGTGCCTAGGTATTGTGACCTACGGGCGGTTCTTTGTAAGCAATACACGAACGAGCTTACTCGAGTTATAAAGCTAACCATGCACAGGAGGGCAACGGCATCTTCAGCGGTTTGGCGCATTGGGTCAAGGGCGGCATTTTCTTTTGGCTTGGCTTGTTGACCCTTGGTCGATGGACCGGCAGCTTTGGTGAACTCGGATGGGTAAGTCACCGGTGCTTTGCCGGCCGTGTTCGGAATCAGTTTGCTGACTTTGCTCCGGCAGGCGTGGAATGTTCGACCGAAGCGTGCCGACAGCAAGTGGCGGCCCTCGGCCGAGTTTGTCGAGAGCGCCCTCATTTTCGTCTACGGATCGACCAACATTTTCCTCGAGCATCTTGGAAATTGGGGAGGAGAATACAGCGCGCAGGATTTGGAGCACATCTCAATCACTGTTCTCTTCATTGGTGGTGGACTGGTAAGCCCCTTCTCGCCAGCATCGCGAGTCGCTCATTTGACTGACAATTGAAAACAGGTTGGCATGCTTATCGAGTCTAGTCGGGTTCGAGAGCTCTTGAACACATCAGTCATCAACGCTGCTTCTGAGCACTACCACGACGAGGAAGAGCAGAAGAAGGATCTGCAACCGCCGAAGCAATATGAGTTCTCCATTAACCCCATCCCAGCACTCGTCATCCTTCTCCTGGGCATCATGATGAGCTCGCACACGCAGCACTCTATGGTTTCGAGCATGATTCACAAGCAGTGGGGTAACCTCCTCACCGGCGCCTCTTTTGCTCGTGGGTTCTCGTATGTCATCATGTACCTGAAGCCCCCAAAGTCCATTCTCCCGTCTCGACCACCCACGGAGCTCCTTGCCTCATTTGGCCTGCTTTCTGGTGGGATCATCTTCATGGCGAGCGTAAGTCCTCTTTCACCTACTGTTCTCCGAACGAGTAATAGCTTACAATTCCCCAGGCTAGCGACACAGTCGAAGGCATGGAGCACTACAATTTGGATGCCATGTTCATGTACACCGTGACCATGGGTCTTGTAGGCGTCTTGATGGCCTGGGTCATCATTGTGTTGGCCATCAAAGGCTGGGCTGTGCGCAAGGAGGCCGGCCGCCGGTCGTATCGGCTGCCCTGATTTATCGACGAATGATTAGACTTCGGTTGCTTGTGAACCGCATTGAGTAGTCAGAAGTGCTGGTGCGGAACGACGACGGCAATGACGCAGTAATGAATATGCGGTCGACAAGGGCATTAGACAGCGATGGCACGTGTGAAGCATGGCTGAAGGCGTTTTCTTCTTCTTTTTTTCATCTTTAATCCTAGAGATACCCTTATGGCAGCCTGGAGAGTCGAATGATTACTTGATTATCGTAACGAATTATAAACCCCAGTGATTTGAGACACAGTAGCAATGGGATATGTTGGGCGTGAGACTCCTTTGTATTGGCCTTGCTACGGCCCCGTAGCTCATTACCGTTATCTATCTTCTGTGCCTGTACCAGACTTTCCTTCTCGAATGCCTTGAGGATATCTACCTTTTGACTCTGGGTTCCTCATACTCCCCTTTGAGCTCCAGCGAGCCTTATCCCCAAAATCCGTGTGACCCGAAGTTTCCTCAACCCCCGGAGGATGAGTATCTATCAAGCTACCAGTGCAGCTTCAATGAAGGCTATTTGGGATGAAAATGCTCTTTTGTCCCGAAATTCCTTGATTGCCCTCCTGCCGCGTTGCCCGTTTCGCTCGCTCTCGTGTTACTACAGAACTTGAGGTCGGGCCTCGATACTGCGTAACGAATAGCGTATTCCTCGATGGCGGCTCAGTCGCGAGGCTCGGTAGAACACCCTGAGGAATGAGAACACTCCTTGGCGGGCTAATGAATGAGCGTGTCGTCGAAAAGTCGCGCCCTTGTTGCCATGCGAAGGACGTTTTCCGCCTTCCAATTCCTTCACATCAAGGAACTAACCGCGGTGACCCCCCTCTTCAACCAGAAGTCGACTTCCTCTTCTTGGATTTTTCCTTTTTGTCCTTTCTCTCCTTCTTTTCCTTTTTTGGGGCAGCGTCCTCCTCGGCTGCCTCCACCATCTCTACATCCTCATCTACAGCAGCAGCAGCTGAAGCAGGCTTGACGACGCGCTCCTGGTCCCGGGCGGAGTAGAGCGCGGTGCCCTGCTGCAGGGCGTGAATCAGAAAGGGCAGCGACTCGGCCTTGAAGTCGTCGGCGGCGCGGACTTTGTCGAGATCTTCTGCGAATTCCTGGGTTGTGCGTTGGAGGTAGTAGGTTGTGAAGTCTTGGGATGTTGTGGTCGCCATGATGAGATATGGTTATAGGGATACGTGATGCTGGGCTTGTTCCGTTTTGCTTTTGCTTGCAGGAAGAGAAAGAAAATGTGCGTATGTGCGCGTGTGTAATGATTTTTGTTGTGAGTTTTCAGTTGGGATGGGGTTGCTGTAAGTGAATTCTGAGATGAGATGACCTGTGAGATATTGGAAGTTTGAAAGTTTTGAAAGACAGTGTTAGGGCACAGTGTCCGGCTGAGATAACACCCACCTAGGCGCATACGAACCTTTCTGAAAGTCAATTCGAGCTAGACTTTTGGTTTAGTTCATGCAGTGTCTTATATTTTTATCTCTTATGAGTTTGAATGATAAAAGCAGAACGATACAAGAATAGACCATCCCACGTCAAAGACATCCAATTTGCGAATTCGTTTCTGCACTTTTCACGCACCGCCGGATGAGGTCTCTACCTAAACAGTCTTTTGGAGAATTTAGGTATCCACATCCGATATGGTGTAGTGGCCAACATGATGCCCTCTCATCTCAGTGAGAGGTTAGGCATAGCCCCGAGTTCGATTCTCGGTTTCGGAACTTTTTGCCCCCCCCTCCCCCCGATTAGCACGATTTACATTCTTATATCTAACATCACGGTCTGGTTTTGACCTATTCATTGCTCATGACTTCATGTTTTCGGCCTCATTGTGTCTGCCATGCTGGAACCAAGTTATACGTGTGTATATGACAACCATTCTAGCGTCAAAGTATTATTTTCGCGCTGTCCGGACTTTCTGAGAGGGCGCATCAGCTTAATCTCATTAAAAACAAGATGTCATTCATTCACTTGCAGACAGTTCAAGCCGTCATTTGCCCCCCCAGCCCTTGCAATCGCAATCTCAGATGCCAAAGGCGGCATTGAAGTGCCGGCGCGGGGAAGCCCTGTCCAACTAGTGATGAATTCGACATTCCTCCGAGCTCTAAACAGCTTTCTTCGCCCCTTGTTTATCCTCTACAGACGACTCATCTCAGCTTATTCGAAAATTGTATAGCGAGCAGCCAGTCGGTCCCATGGTCTAAAGTCACATTATCAGAAGCTATTTTCAATCCGCCTCCTCTTAGAACGCCTCGCCTCGGCAAGCCACTTTCACTTGAATTATCAACTCACCACAGAGGCGCAGGCGGCGGCGGCGCCCCGAACTCCTCCCCTCCCCCGATGCTTCCCCCGATGCAGGAACTCGTCCTTGGCCACACCCTGACTGACCTCCGAGTGCAACCTCGCAACACCCCCGGAATAACTTGGACTGAATACCACCCCTTTTCCCTCCCCGCCCGCCCCCGCAATCCCCGGATTTGCAGCAGTCCACAAGCGGGGTTTGGGGAGAGACCACCTCCCTATCCAAGTTCCTAGCAGAGCCGATCACCTAGCGACCGCTGCGCCGTACCGTGCCTGGCCGAATCTTGGAGGGGGATCTCGAGACAGTGACGTGGGTGTTCTGCAGTTGTCTTAAGACGGAACAGACAATTACGTGAGATGAACCGCTCTCGTCCGCTCATCGCTTGCTGGCCATGCGGCTGGGAAGTGACGGATAGGCCTGTCTACTTACAAGCTTCCCCGCAACTTTAAGCCAATGTCACATCGGTCGAGATGCCTCCATGTCCGAGTTGGCCTTGTGATCGGCCGAAATTTTGCGGGCCAGAGCGGAGGGAGGAACTTGGGGAGGGTTTGGCATTATATGTGCTCGTGTTAATCGACTAGGTCTTGGCGTGATATGGTATGGGCTGAGGAGCTGTCCGCCGTTACGAGTGACTACTCTAGGCGGAAGCGTATATCGGAGCCGGTCAATGGCCCAAGGAAATGCTAGCGGAGGTTGTCTGCTACCACCCAGAGGTTCGTCTCATGCTTTGGTCCCATGAAGAAACGTCTAGTTGGACGTCTCTAAGCCCAACTTCGAGGGGGGTTCATCCTTGGTCTGATGTGGTTCAAGTCAGCATGATGCCCTCCATCACTCTTCAACCCCCTTGCTGAGGTAAACAGACATACGTACAGCCACATCATCTGAATCAAGTTTCCCGACCTCCAAACGTCTACTCCCCCGTGGGTTCTCCATCCGGCAAAGTCGCCGATGTTGACCAGTTCCCTTTGGGGGACGTGACATCCGTCTGGGGTTGCTTTCCAATGCCGCGATGAACCATCTTGGCGAAAGCCTCCTCGCTTGCCCTCAACGGCCAACCCCGCTTGGAGCTTCGTCCACCCTCGTTGTTTTTCTTCGGCATCATGTGAAATTTGGAGATGCACTTCTAACGGTAAGCAAGAGGAGAGACATCGAAAAATATGGGAAAGGAAGAATGCGGGTAGTAGTTTGCGGGGTAGAGGACCATGATGGGCTCCTGACGTTGGCAAGGTATCGATGCAATGTAGGTTGAAAGAGTAAAGGGTAATCAGACAAGAGAAGGGACGGAAAACGATCTATATAAACCCATCGTCATCCCCAGATGTCGTGATCAACCCTTCCAATTGCACAACATCACCAGCTCAGATCACTTACACTACCAAGCCCATATTCACCCGTCTCAAAACGACCAATCAGTCAACATGCAGTTCACCACCGTCGCCGTCGCCTTCTTCGCCAGCCTCGTCGCTGCCCAGGACCTTTCCACCCTCCCCGACTGCGCGGTATGAGACACCTCATCTCCTCCAGTGCCCCCTTCGTTTTGTCTACCTCAAGACAGATTTATAGACAGACGACTCTTGGTGTTTCCAAGTTCGAACCATGTGGCTAACGAGAAGAACCTATGATATCCAGCGTCCCTGCTTCGTCGACAACTTCCCCATCTCCGGCTGCACTGACCAGACCGACTTCGCCTGCATCTGCGCGTGAGTTCTTGCCCCTGTTTGGAACCCCCTCACGAGCCCATTCACTAATATGTGCTGGATACCATCTAGTTCCTCCGCGTACAACAGCGCCGTGACCACCTGCGTCCTAGGTGCCTGCGAGCTTACCGACGCGTAAGTGGACATTCCATTCCTCTCTCTGCCTCTCTACGTCCCTATCTTCCCGAATGGAGGCAGGGATCAAGCATTTCCGAATACTGACTCTTGGGCTCCTAGTCTTGCTGCCTCTTCCTGGGCTCAGGCCACCTGCGCCGCTGCTGGCGTTCCCATCTAGAGTGTGGAAATCGAACGAACTCCCACTCTCTGAAGCTAGCCACGGCTTCAAATCCGACTTGGAGGAGGTCATGAGTGGAAGGGAGATGGGGGAGGCAGGGGAGAAGTTTTTGTTGTGAAGTGTACATATTCAGTGTGTGGACCACAACTCCAACTTGGTACATATATGCGACGCAGAATGAGAAAAAACCATTGTTAGCAAATATCCGTTTCATTGATTGTGAGGCATGAAAAGCTGGATCTGAATGGCTGGTGTATCGAGGGTTGGGATTGGCAGGGGGAATGCCTTCATAGGCACGCAAAGGGGGATTGCTTTTCAACAAGCATCGTCCGTTGTAGTCGATGGCCGAGCGGTATGATTCTGGCTTTCGTTAGCTAGGGGTTGTACGTTGGCTCACGGTCCTACATAATGCCTTGGGTCGCTTGTTTTTTTGGTCCTTTTTTATTTTCGTTCATTGTGTATATTACCTCGTATTCACCGTCATGTATCTAAACCCATACACTCACCACCCTTCTCAATGTCACACGCTATTGAGTTTCATCCGGCCAACTTATTTGGAAAATTGTTGTGAAAGAGAGACGGCGTTCTCGGGACTTTTTTTTTTTTTGACTTCCTTGAAAATTGTGAGATTTGCTAAGGACCATGTTTATTCATGAGATGATGTAGTAACCTATGGCAGCTCATCGGGTCCTGAGGTGAGGAGAGGTATATCATCATGCTTGGATCTGGAATCCAGAAGGCCGGCACGCTGATGACAGCACCGTTGAGCACGTGCTTGGTCTTTCAACACGTCACGATCAAAGGAGATTGGTCGGTCTGCTCTGCTTGGTTATACGCGAAGTTGTCAATCTCTACAAGTGGGGAGAAACGGCTCTCGGTCTAGATAAGTGTGAATCATTGCCCTCTTGGCGATGTCGTTGGTAAGATCTGGACACTTGCCTCGAAGACGACAGAGGCCATACAGATACGGAGCCCAGAATATGACAGAGATTCACCCCATGTATCACGGACGAGCAGCATAAAGTGGGGAAATATTCAGATCACATTTAGTGCGGGAAGCGCCTGTTATCGACAGTGATCTAGAATATCTCGTCTGAAGCTTCGGCCGTCTAATGGAGACAGAAAAAAAAAGCATAAAAGTGAGCACAAGCATGCTCTAGCGAAAGCAGAAGCCCCATGTGACGAACCCGTAAACGCCAGTCGTTAAAAGCTGATGTAAAGCTTTCTAGGATTTCATTGTTGCTCCATATTTGCCAAAGACCAAATCTTGCTCATCGACGTGAGTCAAGGCTCGGTCTCGACGAGTCGAGACTTGGCCGCATGGAGCTGCTGGAGCTCCTGCGACGGCGCGCTCGTTGCTCGCCCGGGTCCGACGGCCGCAGTCCCGACGACTTTGCAAACATGTTCAAGATGTCGGTCAACGAGATGACACCGGTCAGACGGCCGGAAAGATGGGCGCCTGGCATGGCCGCGGCAGGTACAACGTGCGAAACCTGAGTCGGGAGAGGCGACTGAGGTGCGGAACCAATGCCCGGCACCAGCACTGACGACGTTGTGGGCGCCAACAAGGGAGTAGCCGGTGCGGACGGAGACGGAGACGCCGATTCAACAACCCACATGCGATGAGACTGGGTGGCCACCAGCTTTGCTACAGTGTGCGCCAGCGTCGAGTACGGGTTCACGTAAAAGACCGGGAAAGAGTCGCGGCCATGCTCGACGCCGCGCTCGCCTAGGATGACAGAGATGAAGTGCATGCAGGATTGCTTGAGCAATGGCGCGTCGGCGGCATTCGTCAGATGCTTGACGTCTACGGTTGAGATGTTTCCAACAACATTGTGGCCATTGTCAATAACAGCCACACTCGTCAGACCCTCGGCGTTCATAAGCGCCAGGGCGTCTCCTAGAATGCTGTCGGAGCTACAAAGCATTAGTTCATGTCGCAAGCTAGCAAGAGGAGAGTGTTCTTACTTGACGGAGACGATTTGCTGCGTGCCGATGCCAAGATCGCGCAACAGGACAGGGTATAATCTGTCGATGGCGGGAAAATTGATGCCTTCGTTCCAGAAGAACTCAATGACCTTGAGCTGAGTGAGGATTCCAATTACGTCGCCCGAGGGGTTTGTGACCAGAACGCGGTGGATGCCGCTGCCAAACACTTCGATGGCCCGTTCCAGTGTCTCATCAAAGGGCAAGGTGATGAGTGACTCCTTGCGGCAAAGCGGCTGGATATCTCGTAGGGCTATACGGGCTCCTGTCTGGGCCTTGTTCACGATTTCGTCGTACAGGGGTACCTGCTCCTCGTCGGGCCTGGCGAGTCCTACAACTACAAGAAGATATGTGTTTAGGTCATTGTAGTCAAATGTTGAAACAGCAGTTTTGGACGATGCATCTTCTCGGATCAGAACGACGTTGGACGGGCTGTGTTTGACAAGAGTCTACCACAGCGTTAGTAAAAGATACAAAGCACTTGAACAAAATGGGAGGGAGAACGCACCATCGAGGCCTCCTCAACACTGGTGTCCAGAGTAACCCATCTGAAGTCATCTTGGGCAACGAGCTCGTTGACCGAGATATCGCGCCAGTCGCGGCCTGCAAAGCGCGGGTTCGAGTGCTTGTTGGCGGCAGGTGGATGGTTGAGGAGATCCTGTACAGCAGCTTGGGTGAAAGAGGGATGTCGCTGGGCGCGAGGCGAGCCAGGCGCATTTCTCAGATTTTCGGCGAAGCTCTGACGATGGGTGTGGACGTGGGTGGTCTTGTGCAGGCTCGTCTGGGAGGGAGTTCGCTGAGGGACAGCAGGAGGTGAGGTTATGATGGCTTCGTCATTGTGTGCCCCGGACGTCGGTGTTGCGTCCATGACTTAATTCAATCGGGAGATGTTGGTGCAACCTAGTATGGGACGGTCTACTCGGGATGTTGTATGAGCAGAACGATCGAGGGCGGGGTTTCGATGGTGGTTGGCGACTTGCTATGTTGTTGCTGCAGTTTAGTGTCTTGCTGTCTAGAAGCTCGTGATGTTGGCTAAGCCTGAGTCTTCCTCAATGAGCGATGCCTTTTCACTTTGCAAAGCCGCTTCTTTTGTGGTGGCTGAGGGGATTGTTGACGAGGCGCCGAGAGATGAAGAAGTCAATGGTCGGCTGATTGCGCCCGAGAGCGACGGTTGCCCAGCCTGGGGCCGGGGAAGTTGCACCGCCTTACGTAGAGCTATGGATCGCAATTGAGGGGCTGCAGTGATCTGACGGATCCCAAGGTGGCAGGGGAGGCGAACTTGACATGCGCTTTCAACGGGGTGTTCCACGGCTCTCCTGGATATGGTATTCTATTGGTTGAAATGTGATTTGACTCGTGCAGAAGACGCTGAAGTCTTCGAACGTCGCGATGCTGGGATGATGGAGCAGCGAGATGGCAGTGTGGTTTGAACTATGTGTAAAAGGTCTCAAGAGAGTTCTGTTCCGGCAACAACCAACAACTCGACGACGACCAGACTGAGGCGGGGAAAGAAAAAAGAAAAGAAGCAAGATGAGGGGTTGCAGCTACTGGACCTTACCTTAGGTACCTTAGCTAGGTACCTCCCTAAGGTAGTTACCTTCACCTAAGGCGAGTGAAGCATCATGACAGGCGCTACGGAGGACGTTGGCAAAACTTAGCCACTACACAACGGGGTTACGTACCCCGGAGACGTAACCCCAAGGATGTATGTAGACAGCGCCGGCGGGGAGTTTTTGGGTGCTGAACGTTAGAATGGACTGAGGTTGTCTACACTAAGGTATGTACAAGTGTAGGCAAGGAATCTGTCCGCTACCCCTCCTTGGACAGGTATGTTGGCAGACCGGGTTCTCATTGGCTATGTCTTCTTCCCATACCCCATAAGCCAGATAACCTCCCCTTCCGCATACTTCGCTCAAATACATACCTGAAATATCTAGATGCATTCTAATCATGTCGGACCGGTACATACCTATATCAGATATAGGAAAGTTGGGACTCGGTCGCGACTAATGTTAATCATAGATGAAGGATTCTATGCAAGATCCATTTGCTGTTTCGTCTCTTTCTTGTCGGCAGCCACCTGCAGCCACCTTATGTAACTCCAGCACCATTGTAAGCAGTCGCTTACTTTTTGATTTGTGCCTGGGCCATGATATTTGTATTCAGACGGGCTTCGTATATTGTATGTGGCCGGATATCTCGCCGTACCGTCTTGACTTTCAGCCAGAGAAAGGGCCGTCCCTTGATGCATCGCCCCTCATCTGTGACTAGGGAAATGTGTCCAAGCCTACTAACCTCAGGGACGCTGGTTGGCAGGCACAATGGTAGAAACAAAGGGCCTTGTCCGCAATACGGCATGTACAGCCATTTTTACTCGTCTTTCATGATAGGGCAGCCGGAAGCTTGGACGAAAACGTGAGTGCCTCAAGATAGGAAGCTCCTTGCTTGTAGAGAGCTTCTCGGCTTCATGCAACATATCTTGACATGGTGAAGCTTGCCAGCGGGCTTTTCTTTCTTTGTGTTATTTCCTCGGCAGAGAATTTTCATGGCTTCTCATCATTTGTTCGCGTTCTACTACAGTGGACAGGTTCCATCTTAGTGTTTGGCCAAGATGCTTTGATACTTACTGATTGTGTTTGGCAATTGGTAGGTGGGTTGATGTGAATTGAACACCAATGGAGTGGGATAGCTATCAGTCAACCTAATCAACGTGATGCTACCTTAGTAGTCAGATGATAAATCATAGACATTGCTCTTTGAAATTGTATCGTCCCATGTCTCTTGGGTAGAGTTTGGCATTTTGGGGCATACCAGCCAACGGTTTACTTGGTAACAAACGGCTTGGAAAGAAGTCGATGAGTGTTGCTCTCTCTGCGCGTCTGCGTGCCTGTGCACTGGAGGGCCAGGTACCTTGATCAAACGTTGACCCTGTCGGTGGAGACCAATCTTCACATGTAACCACAGCCAGTCAAAAGCCCAATTTACTAACAAATTATTTTATACGTACACACGACGGGACGTGACAATGTACTGAGCCCGTAAGGTACCGTTGGCACTTACACCGCAGAACCCCTCCCATCCGTCACCCCTCCTCCCCCTCCTCAAGCCGGGGCCAGGGCGGGCAGACCACCGACAGCCCAGGACAGCGCCTTTTCGTGCCTTGAGTTGCTGATAATGCCGCCCCGTACGTACCACCGCGGCACCACGGGTACAAACCTCGCAGCGACACCACCTCAACAAGGTAGGTACCTACTATGTAAGGTAGGTAAAGTGACCACGGACGGCCTGACGCCGGACGGGAGGGACGTACAGGTGGAGCCCACCCTTTAGCAACAGCCCCGCCAAAAACCTGCCAAAATTATTGTCATTTTTTGCAGGTTTCCCCTCCACGACAGGAAGACCCGAAGAAGACCCCCAGTCCTGGTCCCTCACCATCGCGGGCTTGCTGCCTCACTTTTTTGACTCCCGCATGTTTCTTTGTTTTTTTTTTTTCCCTTCCCTTTCGACCCAAAAAAAAAAACCTCCCTCCACCACCCGAACCGTGCCTCTTGAAGCACAAGAAAACTCATTGCGATCAGTCCCTTCTTCCAGAAAACGACTGCATATACCCGCCCTCCTCCATATCCTCGTCCGACACGCGTTCGCTTACTTTGGCGCACCAAGACTGGGAAAAAATTAAGGTCCAGAGACATTGGGCCACCGAAAAGGGTAAAAAAGTACCCCTCAGAACAAAACATAACCCGACGCCGACTCTTATCCGCCTCTCCCCCGCGTATACCCTACCTCTTTTTCGACAAGCTTTGCGCCCTCGACAACCTCACACCGCCCCGGCTGCGCTGTCTTGGGGCTGGTAATTAATTAATCTGCAAAAATCCAGCAGACGACTCGACAACAAACCACCACCATCTCCTCCCCGTCTCAGTCGCAAATATGTCTGTTCTCCCCCCAGACGTCCACGCAGAGCTCTCGCAGCTGCTGCAAGCTCTCCAATCTCCAGACAACTCGGTTCGATCGCAGGCCGAAGACCACCTTCAAAATAACTGGACAGCCACCCGACCCGAGGTTTTGTTGATGGGTCTTGCTGAGCAGATCCAAGTCGGATCTGATGCTTCGGTACGCTCTTCCACCCTGCACCTCATGCCTCCGCCTCTACCTACCCTCGCCATTCCTGCGCATGTAAACACGCACGCTCTTCTAGCCTCCAGCTAACCGCGCCACTTTGCTCACCAGATACGCTCCTTTGCCGCCGTTATTTTCCGAAGAATCGCCTCCAAGAGCCGCAAGAATGACCGCGGCGAGTTGGTTGATATGTTTTTGTCCTTGTCTCAGGACCAGGCTGCCGTCATCCGCCAGAAGCTTCTCGAGAGCCTCGGTGGTGACTTCCAGCGTGCCGTGAGAAACAAGATCAGTGACGCTGTCGCTGAAGTCGCGAGGCAATACACCGAAAACAGTACGTCGACACCCACATTCTGTTTCTTCATGCTTTGGGACGTTCCGAGCCTAACACCATGGCAGATGATTCCTGGCCCGAGCTGCTGGGCGGTCTCTTCCAGCTTAGCATAGCGCCCGACGCCGAGAAGAGAGAGACGGCGTTCCGCGTCTTTGCCACGACTCCGGGTATTATTGAGAAGCAGCACGAGGACACGGTTATCCAGGCCTTCCAGAAGGGTTTCAAGGACGATTCCGTTCAGGTAGGAGAACTCCCATCCATTCGCCATCGATATCAAGCCGGCTGACTTTCATCAAGGTGCGTCTGGCCGCCATGGAGGCGTTTGCGGCCTTCTTCAGGAGCTTGGGAAAGAAGGCGCAGCCCAAGTACTACCCTCTTATTACCGATGTTCTCAACATCATGCCGCCTATCAAGGAAAGCCATGACTCTGAGGACCTTAGCAGCGCCCTTGTCGCTCTTATTGACATGGCCGAGACCGCGCCCAAGATGTTTAAGCCTCTCTTCGGCAACTTGGTCAAGTTCAGTATCTCCGTTATCCAGGACAAGGAGCTCGATAACCTTTGCCGCCAAAACGCTCTTGAGTTGATGGCCACTTTTGCCGACTACGCACCGTCACTGTGCCGCAAGGACGAGACCTACACAAACGATATGATCACACAGTGCCTCAGTCTCATGACTGACCTTGGCGAGGACGATGATGATGCGGCTGATTGGCTGTCATCTGACGATGTGAGTGATACTTTTGGTCTATCCAGAATTTGCATCATTGGAGTACTAACACTTCTCTAGCTGGATCAAGAGGAAAGCGACCAGAACCACGTCGCTGGAGAGCAGTGCATGGACAGACTCGCCAACAAGCTTGGTGGCCAGACCATCCTGGCACCGACCTTCAACTGGCTTCCCCGCATGATGACCTCTATGGCCTGGAGAGATAGACATGCGGCTCTGATGGCCATCTCCGCCATCTCTGAAGGCTGCCGGGAGCTGATGATCGGTGAGCTCAGCCAGGTTCTCGACTTGGTTGTTCCTGCGCTCAAGGACCCGCACCCCCGTGTGCGCTGGGCTGGTTGTAACGCTCTTGGCCAGATGAGCACTGATTTCGCGCCCAAGATGCAGACCGACTACTACGACCGTGTTCTCAAGGCCATCATCCCGGTCCTTGACTCTCCCGAGGCTCGTGTCAAGTCGCACGCCGCTGCTGCCCTCGTCAACTTCTGCGAGGAGGCCGAGAAGTCCATTCTGGAGCCTTACCTCGACGAGCTCCTGTCTCACCTCTTCCAGTTGCTCCAGAACGAGAAGCGCTACGTCCAGGAGCAGGCTCTGTCGACCATCGCCACCATCGCCGACGCTGCTGAGGCTGCTTTCTCTAAGTACTACGATACCCTTATGCCTCTGTTGGTCAGCGTTTTGCAGAGAGAGAACGACAAGGAGTTCCGCCTTCTCCGCGCCAAGGCTATGGAGTGCGCTACACTGATCGCCCTGGCTGTCGGCAAGGAAAGACTTGGCCAAGATGCTATGACTCTCGTCCAGCTCCTTGCCTCCATCCAGCAAAACATCACCGATCCTGATGACCCTCAAGCGCAGTACCTGATGCACTGCTGGGGCCGCATGTGCAGAGTCCTCGGCCAGGAGTTCCTTCCCTTCCTGCCCAACGTCATGCCACCTCTTCTCGAGCTCGCCAGCGCCAAGGCCGACATTCAGCTCCTGGATGACGACGACCAGGTCGAGCAGATTCAGCAGGAGGATGGTTGGGAACTCGTCCCCCTCAAGGGCAAGATGATTGGAATCCGGACTAGCACGATGGAGGACAAGAACATGGCCATTGAGCTGCTTGTTGTGTACGCTCAGGTACTCGAGGGAAGCTTCGCCCCTTACGTGGCCGAGATCATGGAGAAGATTGCCCTGCCTGGTCTGGCCTTCTTCTTCCACGACCCCGTCAGATTCATCTCGGCCAAGTTGGTGCCTCAGCTTCTGAGCTCCTACAAGAAGACGTACGGTAGCCCATCAAATGAGCTCGCCGGGCTCTGGGCTGCGACTGTGGATAAGCTTCTCGAGGTGTTGACCGCGGAACCTGCGATTGATACTCTTGCCGAGATGTATCAGTGCTTCTACGAGTCTGTCGAAGTCGTTGGCAAGGAGTGCCTCACCGCCGATCACCTATCTCGCTTCATTGACTCAGTCCACTCTGCCATCGAAGACTACAAGGACCGTGTTGCCCAGCGTCTTGAGGACAAGGAGGGCCTCCCGGCTGAGGATGCAGAAGACGAAGCCGAGGACGTTTTGTTGGCCATCGAAGATGACCAGACCCTCTTGTCTGATATGAACAAGGCCTTCCACGCCATCTTCAAGAACCACGGTGCCGCCTTCCTCCCATCATGGGAGCGCCTGCTTCCCACGTACGAGGGCTTCCTCAAGTCGGAAGACCCTACCCAGCGCCAATGGGGTCTCTGCATCATGGACGATGTGCTGGAGTACTGCGGCACCGAAAGCCAAAAGTACGCCAACCTCATCACCCAGCCCCTGGTTGATGGTTGCAGGGACTCATCGCCCGCCATCCGCCAGGCCGCGGCCTACGGCATTGGTGTGGCAGCCCACCGCGGCGGTCTTCCTTGGGCTCAATTCCTGGGAGGCGCCCTGCCTTTCCTGTTCCAAGTGACGCAGGTTCCCGAGGCGCGGAGTGAGGACAACGTCTACGCAACGGAGAATGCTTGTGCTGCCATTGCCAAGATTCTTCACTTCAACGCCGGCTCAGTTCAGGACCCCAACAACATTGTGGCTCAGTGGATCGAGACTCTTCCCGTCACAAATGACGAGGAGGCCGCACCCTACGCCTACGCCTACCTGGCAGAATTGATTGACAAGTGAGTAAATCTCCAAGACGTGAGTAGTCAACTATGACTGATACTAATTTGTGAATTCAGGCAACATCCGGCTGTC